AATTTTTTTTATAAATTAATAAGAATTAATGAAAATATGAATATCCAAAATGAATAGAACAAATCTAGAAAAATTGATTTTCTATTAAGGAGAGGCATGCTTTGCTCCCCTCCCTCCCCTATATTCTGCGGCATTGTTTCTCACTTTACGATATATTATGCTTGAAACAATAATATTCTCATATGGTAAAAAACTTAAAAAGGATAAAGCGCGATTCCCAAAGGTTGTTAATATAGAAATTATTGGAATAAAAATTACAATGCGAAATTTCCAAATATTTTTCAATTTTTATTGCTCCTTTTTCTCAAGAATGTTTGATTGTAGGTAGCTAATGGATCAACAAACGAGTAATTCCAGACCAAATATTGTCCTCTCTTTCGAAGAATTTGAGAAATCTACCAGGACTTTCCCCACCGAATCTGAAAAGCCTGGAAATTGTAAAATAGGCTGAATTTGAGCTGATCTTAACTTAGGATGATAGAATCATAAATTTTTACAATATGACCTTTACATGAACGTAAATGAATATGTCTTTTATTTCCCACAACAGTTAAACTTCAACCGGAGCAAGTGACAGGTTGAGTAATTAGACAAAAAATGGCAAGAATGAGTTCATTTTGGTTTAGTTGTAAATGAAGATTAACAGAGGAAATAGTTTCAAGGAACATTTAACAAGGAGAGAATAATGGACGGTTATATAATTGAATTCCAGAAAAAATGATTTAAAGCAACTTGCTGTTTTAACTCTATCCTAATAAGGGTGATCAACCTTGGGGACTTCCAATCAATGATGGCACCATTAATGGACGGATAATGAGCATTTATTATATTTTATGATAAAAAAGAACTTAATACGAATGGTTATTGAAAGATCGGAAGGAGATCTTAATTTAATCTAATATTATTAGTAGGTAGAGAAGCTTGAGTTCAATCTATTTCACCAAATTTAAGATTTACAAATTTTTTTTCCAAAACTTTGATCACCTACTCATAAGTACTAAAGGTTATTTAATGGGGTTATTGGATATTTAAAAAAAGAGTCGATCTAATACACATAGTATCAGAAATTTTAATAAAATTCGAAAAGGAGAATAGTTTTATAGAAAGAACAGGTAAAATAAATCTGACAACTCAAAAAGATTCTCTAGAGTGGTATATTTAAATATGTTATATTATTTTTAGGTTTAAAATTTATACTTTTATATTAATTTTTCTTAATATTATGAAAATTCTTGCGTACATAAAAATAAAGATGTATATAAAAAAAATTATAGTAATTATTATTTGAAAATTATTAAATTTTAGTTATTTTTATTTTAGATGTAATATTGCACATGTTTTTTGATGAAGAGAAGGTGGTAGATTTTAGCTTTAAATAATATTTACGAAAACAGGCTAATTTTTGAAGAGAACGCCCTATGTGCTACACTTATGTTTAGAATCAATGATAAGAATTTAACAACATAAATTTTTTTACTCTGTTAATTTTGTAATTATATTTCATTATAACTCTTATGATTAATAATTAATTTACTAAGTAAAAAAATAAAATGCTTAATAATGGATGTAGACATTATTATTCTGACAAGTTATACTTTTGAAATCACTTTAAAATACTAGAAGTGTATATAATTAAAATTAAGTTAATATATAACTCAATTTACTTGTTATTATATTGATTGCTATTTGCTAATATATATTTTTAAAATAATTTATTTCATTTTATTTTTTAAATAATTTACATTCCTTCGTGCAGTTAAATTTCCTTTTCCTTTAAACTATTTTCATAGTTTTTTCTCAAAAGCAAACTCGTAAAATTTTCTCAAAAGGTATTTTATTATGATTCCTATGATTAAAATACAGACCTGTAATGAAACTCATGAATAAAATTAAATATGAGCATTATAATTTTATGATTATTAATTAATTTTCTATTTAGGAATTCGCTGGATCATGATACTTATCTAAAGGTAAAGGAAATTATAATTCATACGATGTTACTGTCACATGCCTGGCACTTACTAGTGAATTGCTGCTGACCTTCATCGCATAATAAATTTACTATATATTCCATTGATTTTTATAATTTTATTATAAAAGTAAAACCATATAGCTTACAGATAGATTATTTCAAATTTTTTTTTTAAAAAGTAATGAATTTATTATATATTTTAGGTACTCCTAATATCGATATAAGAAAGGTAACATTTATTTTATCTTTAAAATGATAGTTGTCATAAACTTGGCACTTATTAAATAGTGAATACAGTTGGCAAAGATCAAACAAAAATTTGTTATATATTCCATTAATTTTTATAATACTTTATAAAAGTCAACCATATAATTAACAATTTTTACATAAATTAAAATGCTTAGTAAATAAAAAAATATTATTTTTAAGGTACAACAAGAATTACAAAAAAGAAATACCATCAGAAATATTTATCACAAAATTGTTCTTATTTATTTTTATATGTAATATTTATAATTATGACAATGAATAAAGATATAGAATATCAGCATGTGTTAAAAAATTTTTCCTATTTTTGCATATATACAAATTATTACACTTTTAAAGATCAGACTTTGCTTTAATTTATTAAATATAATTTAATAAATCACATTTTTATTTGAATAATTAACACTAGTTTTATTTCTAAACAAATATAGTATTAACCATAAATATTTAATCAAGTGTTTATTATATTGCATAGGTGCAAATTGATAAGTTGAACTCCTAAAGTTATATACAATGGTATTAAAATGAAGATGAATTTTTTTAAAGGGTTATTATAATCAAAATGTAATAACTTGTAATAAATTACAAATCACCCAATAAATTACTAGCTATCCTACTATATATGGGATTATGAATTGTATACCCAATTTTAAATTATTTTAGTTAGCTTAAAGGTTTATCTAAGATAATCAGCTTGTAATTTCAATATCACCATTCACTTGATTTTTTTTAAAAATTGAACTCAATGAGATATTTAAATCTCCATACCTTATATACCCCTAGATTATCTTATCCTTTGACATTTACATTGCAATAACCAGTATTGAAAATTCCAAAAGTATTATAATTTTTGGGAAACAATAATTTTTCTATTAAAAGGCTTATTTTATGTTTTTCTATAAAGTTTTTACATAAATTTGTCAATGAATAGAATTAATATATTTTTTTTACAACCTACCATTATTAATCAATGAGTAAAATTATAATTTGGTATTTAAAAGAAATTTTTTTAAGCTGACCCAAATAAATTAAAAAAAAAATTAAAATATAAACTGGACTATGTACCCATGTCAGACTGAACCTGCAGATCTGATATATATACATAATTTTTATAAAATTAATCAAACTCAGAGTTTGAATATGATTTAATTTGAATAAAGATTAAAAAAATCATAACAATTTTCCAAATGCTCATTCATGAACCAAGACTATAATGTTAACCTAATCAATGCAAAAATTTTTTTAAAATCAATCATTAAAAATCGAATGTAGGCAATGATTCCCCACTTTTACCTATATATATATTGCTTTATTTAAATTATCACTCTAAATATTAGGATCTCTGATTAGAGATCAAAAGTATATTATCCATCTCTAGATATAAAAAATTACCAGAGAAATGTTTCGGTAAGAGTTCTTCTGTAGGGTTTCACGATCTCTCACCAAAATGTTATTTATTAGGAAATCACCAGAGTTGTTAAAAGATACTTTTTAAATGGATCTAGATACTGACACATCATCTAACATAATATCTAGATATCGATATTTTAATCAAATATCCATCTAGATACAGATACAGATACCACATTTTTTATATTGTATCTAGATCCTTTAACAACTCTGGAAATCACTCACGAATAATTAGATATATATATTAGTGATCTGCATCGGGCCTAATTTTTCAAGCTCGGCCCAGCCCGAATCCGAAATTTTCTTGAAAAGACTTGCCTACCCGGCCCGAACCCGACATTTTTTAAAAACCGGCGCCCGACCCGAATTTATTTAAATATAGAAAATTAATTTTTATAATTAATCAAAATAAAAGACACGTGTTACATATTTTAGATATATTTAAAAAAATTTCCAAGGTCCAACCTGCCCCGGTCCAAATTTTTTTAAAAATATTTAAATAGAATTAGGCCCGAGCCCGGCCCAAAGTCAGGCCGGGCCTAACTTTGCAGATCTCTAATATATATATAACATAATCCGAACCCTCACAATGCCATTATATTCCTCATGATTCACTCATAAAAATACCTTCGGAGTTTCGCTGAATGCAAATCAGATGGTGAAACGCCATTTTTTTTAGTTTTCCCCATAAAAGAATTTCTGTAAAACATATGGATCTCTGTTAAAAAAAAAAGAAGAAAGTTTTCCCCTAAAATTTTAATGGCGAATTATTTACAAGGAGAAACCAAGATGGCGCGCCATAAACTGATATGCATTAATACGAAATTTTAAAATGAATAAATTGTCGGTCTAGATAAATATTGGCCACGTATACAAATTTATTTTAACCGGCCTAAAAAATCCGTTAAACCAAGGTTTTAGCGGAAGACTATCACTTATGGCCCCAGGGGTGGTTTTTTTTTTCCTTAAAATGATAGCGGCTCAAATTTGGAAGAAACTAATCTAGATTAAAACACCTCAATGTTAACGGATTTTCTCCGGCAAGTGGCACGAAGAATGAGCTGGAATTAGCCGAGATTTAGTCATTACTCAACTATAGACCTCCCCCCCCCCCTTCCGGCCCTCTTCTGTCTTCCCCCAGGAAAATTACACTAGGCCTATTGACGACATATAAATGTAAAATTAGTATATCTACCATTTTTATTAAAATTTTTTGAAACTATTTGCGAAATAAATTATTAATATTTTTTTATAAAAATAGTTTATTATGATAATAAAGGTGTCTTTATCATGTATAGATTTTGTAAAATCATTCTTAAAAAAAAAACATTAATATGATAATAATTTTTATTTAAAAAAAATACATTATTTTTCAATAAGAAACTGAATTACTATTATTTAGTATATGTCACGATTTGAACAAAAGTATGGCATCGTTGCCAACATAGAAATACATGAAATTCATAGCCGTGTAGCTGATGGAACTTCCAAAATTTTTGCCGACCACACATTGCCACGTCGGGTTATGACGGCTAAAAAAAACATTTAGATAAATAAATAAAAATAATAGGAAGAAAATTTCTAAATCACTCTGATTGGAGGGGATTAAATTTATCCTAGCATTTAGGTTTAGCCTATATCTAGACTACATGATGCAAGGCTTGGACGAGATTATTAAAAAACCAAAAAAATAGGATCAAATCTCTTACAATCCATTCTTTGTGAATGATAATGGAATTCAGAGAATATGATATATCTGAACATGGATAGGCTCCAGTGCTTGAAATGTTTTTAGGTTCCTTTTTTTTGGAACTTGACACAATTTCAACAGATTATTCCAAATTCCAGTTTCTAAAACTGGAAGATTAATGGATCAAATAGCAAATTTAACTTACACGTCCATCCTTTTCTTTATAGCCATCGCGATATCCTTCTCCAATTCATGCTCGCTGATGGCCCTTTCGGCGAAATGCACGGCATCCCTTTGCATGACATCTGACATGTCGGCTGCCACTAAATTGACTTCGCGAGATTCCGTTTTCGATTTACCTTGTGGGAAAAACCTCCAAAAATTTTTCATCGTAAAAGAAATTTTTAAACTAAAAAAGAAATCATTTCCCTCCACTAAAAAATCATTAAAAATTTGTGAAGATAATTTAATTTAATATAATGAAAATTTCTCGTGATGACTTAATAAATAAATATTAACTGCGTTTAATATGTAAGTTAGAATTACGTATTTTTATACTGCTAACGAAATTATATTATAAATTGATGTAAAAGAAAGAAGATATCATATCAGAATTAACATTTTTTTTGTTAGTTAAAAATTTGAAACTATTCAAAAAAAAAAAATTTTAAGCATATTTTTTGCCAAAAATAAAACTTTACTTTTTTATCATTTCCGGCAATTCCAGGCACACGCAGTCTATGGAACGGAGGGGTCCTATCTTTATTTTTAAAGATCTTATATATTTCATTTTAAAAATTTGATCCAGATTTTCCACGAATTTAATAATTAATATTTTATGTAAATAAGTTATAAACTACTATAAACTATCCTATCCCAAGAAACTAAGCCTATCTGTTGATGTTTTTTATTCACCTCCTTTTTTATAATCGTTTAATATAAACTATTTAACCAGATACATCTGAGGGATTCTTAGGGCATACTTTTATTGGGCTCAGCAGGTATAGGTTTCTAAGATACGGTATTCTTTGCTCATCGTAATTTATTTTAAATGCGTTCTAGAGGTCAAATATTATCTTGTTAAATTGAGATTTTTTTTTCCCAGAAGATTCTTAATTAATTAATTAATTAAAAATTATTTTCCCCAAAAAAATTTCCTTCTTAAATCGTGAGGGAAATTGTACTAAAACATCTTTCAGAACTTCTAGCTCAATTCGACTTACACGATGAACAGAAAGCAAAATTTCTGAGCCAGAAAATATTGCTGTTTTGAATTGATTAGCACAATCTAGGGATTTTCTTATACTGAAAGTAATTCACTTTCCATCATGTTACAAATTTTTTGGCTCTCAATAAACTATAGATAATGAAGGGGTACATTTCTTTAATGAATAAAACGAAGTTAGCAGATGATTAGAATTTTTTTTCCTGAAACATGGTTTAATTTTATGGATTCTAATTTAAAGGTCCGGCAGAGTAGAAGAACTCCCCGAAAGGTTCAGAATAAATAACTCGATGCTCAGAAAAATACGAATTGAACAGGTTATAAAAACTGAAGCGCTCAGATTAAAAAAAAATGAAACAGTCGGAACTAAGAGCTTAAATTGCTCAGAAATATTTTTTCCTTAACACTATTGATTTTTAAGAATTTTTTATAATATTGGTTCCTTTTCGGTTTTAATAGACTTTCTGCACCATCTAATTTAATGACGATATCGCGTCATTCGTCATGCCCCCTACCGCTTAAACCCCTCCCCAGTTTTTATTGGTCAATGTTAGATATAACATGGCGTGATTTTGAAACTGACCAGCCTAGTCGGATGCGTGTGCTTATTTCAATCCTACGAAAAGATCACGTGTTTTTTCTTCCTGATGTCAACTTGGTGATTCAATACTTGGAGAGATGGAGGATATAGTAGATCGGACTCGATCACGTGATTAAATAAATAAATTGTTATATGTTGACCGTATTGTACCTAACATTAACCCGTTGTTGTCAGGTCCATCTAGATAAACAATTACCGGTTAACAGTTCTTTCTTGGAAGGAAGGAAGGAAGGAAGGAAGGAAGGAAGGAAGGAAGGAAGGAAGGAAGGAAGAAAGAAACGAATCTTTTGATTTGTAAATAGGGTTTTCGACTTAATAAAACAATGGGGTTAAATTAAACATCTAGAGATATTACAATTTTATAACTTTTCCCAAAAAAAAACTTATTTTGAAAAGATAAAAAATAAACGGTTAAAAGTTGAAATATTTTAAATCCACGAAAAATTTAATTTTTATTCCTATTTCCCCCCCCCCCCCCTTAGTTTTGTTAATTATTAACAGAGACCTACAGACCCGACCCTAAGTCCGGCTCGGCTAATTGAAATCGCCATTATTAGCTATAAAGATCAAAAATGTATATAAATATATTTTTAAAAAAAACCGGTTCGAGTCCTGAAAATATAAAACCCGGGCCGGGCCGGGATAAATCATTGAAAAAAAACCGGTCCGGACCAAATTTTTTTTTTAACAAATAAAATCCGACCCGGGGGCCTTGCATGGTATCTCTACAAGTCCCCGATTCTCTTAGTATTTTTCTAGATACGTATTTTATGTAATATATGCATAGATTCTATTTAAATAAGCCCGAATTGGGCCAATTTGCCCCACTAAAATTAGTAATATTATGCAAACCACCTCGGATTTTGTTCATGGATGACAGGAAAAAGTGTAGGCCTTCTCTATTTGCCTTCGCGTTTGACCTTTATATCTTCCTCCTCTGATTCTGAGAAAGCGTCAGTTGGCTCCAACATGGTGGATCGCGCTACGGATATCGAACCTTGGCATGTGAGATTTGCGCCTGCTCGCTGTTGCCAAGGCATCAACAAGGCTGGTAAAGCATGGCGACGGCAGCGGGGACCGTTTTCTTTTGACTGATTTTTATTAATTTGGCCAAAATCTTAAATGGGGACAATAGACCCAAACCGGACCTTTTAAACAAACTAACAAGCATTTTTGTTTATTTTTCTATTTTAAAAATTAAATTTAAATTTGTTTTCTATGAAATAATGTAAATAATGATTATTGAAAGTTATGGAAGATCATTTGGTCATCTACTAAGGAAGGCAATGTTCCTCAAGTTCGTGAGAGCCCATTTCCTATTTAAAGAACATAAGGAATTGGGGGAAAAAATCTATCAAAAATGATTGGTCCATGCAAAGCTAATCAAATAGATGAGGGCATTAATGAATATGATAGTTCTAACCTAGATGATCCTTGGAGAAGGAAGGCAATGTCAAGTAGAGTTGTTAAAAGGCTCAACTAGAACCGATTTTTAAATATTTTAGCCAGTAAGAAATATTTTATAGACCCCCCCCCGAGATGTCGCTAATAGACGTCTGAGCCTATGTGCTGCCATTTATATCCAAAATCTTCAGGGCTTGCTTAATAATTTTTCTGGATTTTAAAATACCGAATTAGCCGTTTTTGAAAAACCGGTTCAAATCGAGCCTTTTAACAACAACCGATGTCAATCAATGTTACATTTTCGATATCTTTATGATTTCAGATGACATTTTTATTATTTCGAAGAAAAAAAACACATCGAAAAATTTGAACATCAAACAAATGGACATCATATCTATCGTGTAAATTATCAGATTTTTGAGTAACTGCAACACTGCAAGTTAATTAGAAATTCGGTGAGCAAACTGGTTATTCGGGTAAATTATTTCTTCAAATAAAACAAGGATGCCAAATAAAGTGAAATAATTTTTCGGATTCTTTTAGGCCAAAAAAAATAAACTATGTTGCTTCCATTTTGAAAAGATTCTTCTATAAAAGTATAGGGAGATGGTATCGAAAGATTTCAATGTCGCGTTGAAAACACCTTTCATATGGCCATAATAATATTTTAATTTAAAAATGTATCTAGTTTTTTTGAAAGGTAACTTTATTAAAGTTACTTTATTTTTAAATATCCACAATATCATATTAAACTCATTTTTAAAAAATATATAATTTTACAACACTCCTGTTGTCATATGCTATTTATTGTAATTATGAACATTTGGACAATAAGTAAAACTATATATAGTAGAGCTTTATAAATATTTATTTAATAATTAATTAATTATACAAATTAATAATACAACTAATTTTGAATACAATTAAAGGAGATCATTTACTATTGCATAATTTCGATCAATTTCAAGGTACTACAACATTATTATTGGGGATAATTTTTTTGACACTTTTCGACAGGGAATCGTAAAATTTGCAGGAGTATTTGTAGAATACAGACAGTTTCAGAACCTTAACCACTTCTCTCCTATAAGTAGGATTCACTATCACGTTGAGGTAAAAGGTTAAAGATATGTACATATACTCTAGGAGCGTACAGCTGGCGAACGCGATATCGAAATCCAAAGTTGTCAGATATTCGTCGTAGAAGTCTACGGTCATTATGTAGATAGAAACGGGTAGCAAAAATATGACAAATTCCAGCATCAAGATGTATAACATGCTGAGACCCACCTTGAAGTCTTTGCGTCTCTTCTCTAACCTATTCATAGGATTGCCCTGAATATTTGCTTGCAAATTTAGGTTGTACACTAAATGCGTATTGATTAGTCTGGTTATGGTGATCTTGTTGTTGTCATTATTTTTAATGTTTTTGGTAGATTGGCCTAACGATCCCATGATTTCAGAGGTCCTTGATGGTACTTCATTCTCGACAATGTTTATCTTTTTTATCGCCGGAATAGCTTCCGCTCTAGTTGCGGTTGCCGCGACAGGAAGATGAATCGGGTTAACCATGTTTTTCATTCTCCACTCTAACAAGGACCTCTGGCGTTTGAGGTAATAATAATTAAAAACTAAGATAGTACACACGGGTATAAATTTCGTGAAAAATTCCCTAAAGAAGCCGTATATCATCCAGCGCTTTTTGGCGACGGGAGAGTAAATCGCGAATTGCCTGGTATAGATGGTAAAATTTTCGCTTCCGCACACATAATTGAGTCTAATGTTAGCGAACCACCACCCCGCAGGTATAAACCATAGCAGGAGATAGGAAAAGCACAAGCACAAAATTATTCTCACTCTAAATACGGTTACGTAACGCCTGTACAAGTGCGGGTGCACGGTAGCCATCATCTGCGTCAAGGCGAACAAGAGGTATATCATGAAAGAAAAATTGACGAAGGTTTTAGCCAATGGGAAATGGTAGCTCGACAAGTATTCCTTCCAGGGTCTCCGTAACCAAAAATTGCTCAAATGGTATTCCGCCACGATGTCCAAGATGGGGTAGAGAAGCATGAAGAAACAGTTCAAGATGTTAACCGCGTAAAACGCTCGGCTCAATTGCACGGTAATGTACAAGGGTTTATCCTTCATGGCGAGATACAATCCTAACCCGTTCCCTA